CCGCCTCCTGGGTTCAGGCAATTCTCCTGCCTCAGCCTCCTGAGTAGTTGGGATTACAGGCACGCACCACCATGCCCAGCTAATTTTTTGTATTTTTAGTAGAGACGGGGTTTCACCATGTTGACCAGGATGGTCTCGATCTTTTGACCTCGTGATCCACCCGCCTCTGCCTCCCAAAGTGCTGGGATTACAGGCTTGAGCCACCGCGCCCGGCCTAATTTTTGTATTTTTAGTAGAGATGGGGTTTGACCATGTTGGCCAGGCTGGTCTTGAACTCCTGACCTCAGGCGATCTATCCACCTCGGCCTCCCAAAGTGCTGGGATTACAGGCACGCACTCCAGCACCTGGCCAAAACCTCCCTTATTTGAGACAATCTGACGATGCCGGTGGAATGTCCTGTCAGGCCCCTCCCTTTCTTTTCCTGCCTTAGGGCTGCAGGTGGGGCCTGCCTCCCCTATGCTAAGTGGGGCTGTGGCTCCAGCAGGGTGAGGGGCATCTCTGTGGAAGGCAGCCAGGGTGGGCTGTCAAGCTCGCTGGTGTGGGGGCATCTAGGCAGGAGAGGGGCCTCCAAATAGAGGAAGGGGCTGCAGCAGCAATGGGGGATTGGTTACACCAAGAGGACTCTATCTAAGTAACTCTGTTAGTGATCACCGGCGAAAAGGAAGTTAGAATAATGAAAAAGGAAATTAAAATAACGAAAAAGAAAGCTAGAATGTTAGAATGAACCTTTTGATGTTGGACTTACCACAATGGAATAGACTAGCCTCGGCGTTTGTCTTGAAATTAAGATCTTCCATTCACCAAAGACACCAGTGAAGAATAAAAGGCAAACCATGGGTTGGGAGAAGATAATTGCAACACATATAACTGACAATAGGCTCATATTCAGAATGAAACACCCTAAAATTCTATGACAAAAGGCAGATAATCCAATGAAAAATGAGCAAAAGACTTGACCTGGAGCTTCAAAAGAGAGGCTATCAAAGGCCAATTCTATGGACTGAACTGTGTCCCCTCCAAATTTATAGGTTGAAGATCTAACCCCGAGCATGACTACATTTGGAGACAGGGCCTTTAAGGAGGCAGTTAAGGCCACATGAGGTCCCAAGGGTGGGGCCCTGGACTAGAGTCTTTATAAGAAGAGGAAGAGACACCAGGAGTGAGCACGCAGGGGAGGGGCCACATGAGGACACAGGGAGAGGCCACACTAGGACACAGGGAGAGAGCACCGTCTGCAAGCTATGGAAAGGCCTCAGGAGGAACCCACCCTGCCGGCAGCCTGATCTCAAACATGCAGACTCCAGAAGTGAGACAATAAATCCTGGTTTTCTTAGCCACCCAGGATATGGTGTTGAGTTATGGCAGCCCTAGCCAATCATACACCCATGCACACAGAAATGTTCAATCCCAAGAATTTGCAAATTTTTTTTTTTTTTGAGACGGAGTTTCGCCCTTGTTACCCAGGCTGGAGTGCAATGGCGCGATCTCGGCTCACTGCAACCTCCGCCTCCTGGGTTCAGGCAATTCTCCTGCCTCAGCCTCCTGAGTAGCTGGGATTACAGGCACGCGCCACCATGCCCAGCTAATGTTTTGTATTTTTAGTAGAGACGGGGTTTCACCATGTTGACCAGGATGGTCTCGATCTCTTGACCTCGTGATCCACCTGCCTCGGCCTCCCAAAGTGCTGGGATTACAGGCTTGAGCCACCGCGCCCGGCCGAATTTGCAAATTAAACCAAAACAGGATGTGCTACATGTCCCCTAGAGGGAACAGAAGAGCTGCTGACCATGCAGGAACTGGCATGGATGCGGCACCAGGGGCTTCCTCGCACGCCGCTGACAGAGTGTGAATTGTATGATGCTTTGGAGAAGAGCCTGGCATTAGCAAAGGAAACACAACGCAGGTCTGAAGAAGCCAGGCAGAAGCACAGGTGCCACAGAATTCCATTCACAGACAGAAGCACAGGTGCCACAGAATTCCATTCACACCGACACAGGGAGCGCCAGCTGCAGGGAGTAGCTGGCACACATGGGCTCTGCAGGGAGCACTGGGGGCTGCTGGGCCTGAGGATGCTGACCTCCACAATAGCCTCGAGCTGTACGACTGAGTGAGTGGGCTTTCTGCAGGTTTCGGTTTGTAAAGGGACAGCAAGTAGCCCGGTGAGATGCAGACTCTTACCAGTGGTCTCTGTCGAGGTGCAGATGCTGGGCTGAGACTTAGCACGAGGTGACGACATGGTTAAAGGATCCAACACATCTTCCAGCTGCTCTTCCAGGGTTTTAAACTTATGCTTTAGATTTCGTATTTCTGCTTCAAGGGCCAGAACATAATCTGCCAAAAAAAAAAAAAAGCCCCGTGAACATAACACATACACAGCATCCTTTCCCACCTCCTGGCCGTGAGCACCAGCTCAGGGAGTCAATTCCAGCTCATGCCCACTGGCTTTACTGTCCCTGTCCTCCCCATACAGCAGCTTCACAGCAGTTTCCACACTCTGTGTGTGTGTGCCAGACTGAAAGGCCTCCCCTCCCCTCACTCGCTAGGGTGTGGCAGCCAGAGACCAGCACAGCCTCTGTGCTCTCCAGGAAGGGCTCAGCAATCAGGAGCAAACGCTCCACCTGCTGCCAGCCCACGTGCCTCTGTCCGGGGGAGCCGAGTCCCATCTTGAGAACAGACACTCTGCATCCATCCCGGCATCCACCCACCCACGGCCACTCATGGAGTCCCTGGGCGTTGGGTGGCCCTCAGCAGCTCTGCCACGGATGCTGCGCTGGAGGAAGGGCCCAAGGTCCACTGGCGCCTGCTACCAACTGCTCAGGGATGGCGTGGCACCAAGCCAGCCCTGGTCCAAGTCTAAGACTTAGGTTTTTGAGTGTGTCAAGCAGGTACCCTCATTTTTCCTTCCACTTGACAAACTGAAAAGCTTTTTGGTATAAAACTTAAGATTCTTTCTGTTGGAGTAAAAAGCAGTTTTCATACGTTGAATTTATTTTTATTTTTAAATTAATTAATTAATTTATTTATTTTGAGACAGAGTCTAGCTCTGCCACCAGGCTGGAGTGCAGTGGCTCGATCTCGGCTCACTGCAACTTCTGCCTCCCAGGTTCAAGTGATTCTCCTGCCTCAGCCTCCAGAGTAGCTGGGACTACAGGCAGACACTACCACGCCCAGCTAATTTTTGTATTTTTAGTAGAGACATGGTGTCACCATGTTGGCCAGGCTGGTCTCCATCTCCTGACCTCATGGTCACCTTGGCCTCCCAAAGTACTGGGATTACAGGCATGAGCCACTGCACCGGGCCCATACTTTGAATTTGTTACAGGGGATGTTAACTTATAGGACTCTGAAATGAAACCTCCTTGAAGTCAGCCTAGACCTATGCTCCCATCTGTCCTCCTCCCTTCCTCTCCCCCTTCCCCTTTCTGTCCCTGTCTCCCCTTCTCCACTTCTCCCCCTTACTCACCAGGAGTGGCGGCATCTGCCCCCGCCTTTAGGTCAGGCTGGTTTGCATCTCCCCCTGCCTTTGGGTCAGGCTGGTTTGCCTCTGTGCTCTCCCCCGCTCTCTGGGCGGGAAGAGGAATCTGATGGCTGAGAGTCTCCATTTCTTTCCTCATCTGTGCAATCACGTTTCGCAAGCTCATGTTCTGCTCTCGCAAGCGCTGGATCTCACTGGATGGAAAGTCTTTACTTATTTCTTCTTCATGCTGCCTGAGGAGCACCTGTCAAATACAAGGAAAGATGGCCACAAAAGATGAATGGTTCCCCAGCTGCTCCTGATGGACTGTGCCTCCGCCCTCCCAGCGCCCCTCTCAGGCCAGTCCCCTGCTTCAGCTTGGGCTGTGGCCCCTGCTGCCCTCCCCATCCCAGGCTGTGATGTCCCTTCTTTCTGACCTGACAGAAGGACTAATATGACATTCAAATTCCTGAAGCCTTCCATACTGCTGAGATCCCTGGAGTGTCAAATCCAAAGAGGCAGAAAAGTGGAATGGGGTGCTGGGGCTGGGGGCAGGGAGTGTTTCCTGGGGACAGAGCCTCAGTTTGGGAAGATGAGAACGTCTGGAGACAGGTGTTGTGATGGCTGTAGAACGGTGTGAATGTGCTTTATGCTGCTGAACTGTGGCCAAAAACTAGTTAAAGTGGCCAGTTTTACATTAAGTTTACTTTATTTAGTACAATAAAACATCCACTGAACAGGATGATGAGCAGGTCAGAGAGTGCAGAAGAAAAGGCAGTGAATATAAACACTGGCAGCAGAAAATACCCAAACAAAAGTTCACAAGGAGAGGGGCCAAAGAAAGAAAAATGAGCAGAGCTCTGGAGACCAGGGACAAGGTGAAGCAGCACCCTGCACAAAGAACCAGGGGCTGAGGTGAACGAGAGGGCAAGAGGCGCGTCCACAACAAGGCCACAGGTGCCACACTGTGATGAAAACCAAGCAACACAGCACGACGGTCAATGAACCCTACGCAAGATGAACAGAAAATCATACCGAAGAGCACTGCATAGTCAAATTGCTGAAAAATCAGCGACAAAATGGAAACTCTGAAAGCAACCAGAGAAAACAGATGCGTTACACTAGGGTCAAAGGGCAGGCACAGGAAAGACAGAACCCGCAAGGAGCCACCAAGATGGGAGGACCAGGAGGCAAGGCGGCGCCTCCAGCACAGGAGAGACAGGCCCCACCCACTCAGCTCCCACATCGGCAGTGAGGGAAAGGTGGGTGAGGGGCACTTCTGCCTCTGACCAGGAGGGACTCACTGCTATGAGTCTTTCCCTCTGGCTGTGAACAACTACAAAACCAGACACATTAGACAAAACACCTGCTTCCAGACGCCAGCAGAGACCCCGGATACCTGAAAAGGGAAACAAAGTACCAGGCTCTGTCCCAGCTCAAACACGAGTCCAGCCAAGATGCATGCAAAAGGCACAGCTTCCCCTCCTGTGGAGGCCACTTTGAGGGAGCCAGAGCCTGCCCCCCACCCCACATGCCATGGCTGCAAACCTGAAGCAAGACCTGGACCCCTTCCTGGGACTCTCTGACCCCCTGGCCCACTGGATCCTCCATGCTCACCAGCAAGGCCAGCTGGCCTGGGCTTCCAGGAAAAGCTTCACACGCCATGCTGAGTGGTGGAGATTATGTGAACAGAAGGTGAGCCTCAACTGGAAGTTCAGAAATGGAGACAAAAAACCGCCCACCACAGTGCCGTAGTAACACTTGCCAACATCATCAAGGACCATTGGTAAGAAAATCACTAGATGCATTATGGTGTGGCCACTTGATAAAATATGCAACCATTTAGATTCTGTTTGTGAAGAATTTTGATGTGGGAAAATATTTACAGTAGAACCAAAATGAAAGAAAGAATTCTCAGGCCAGGCACAGTGGCTCATGCCTGTAACCCCACCACTTTGGCAGGCCGAGACAGGTGGATCATGAGGTCAGAAGTTCGAGACCAGCCTGGTCAACACGATGAAACCCCGTCCCTACTAAAAATACAAAAAATTAGCTGGGTGTGGTGGTGGATGCCTGTAATCCCAGCTACTCCAGAGGTTGAGGCAGGAGAATCGCCTGAACCCAGGGTGGGGGGTGGATGGAGGCTGCAGTGAGCCGAGTTTGTCCACTGTACTCCAGCCTGGGCCACAGAGCGAGACTCCATCTCGAAAAAAAAAATGATTATCCTGGAGAAACAGTCCCAGGAGGAACAGACCCTTGAACACCGTGCTCCACTCAGCCAGTTACAGACTTGGATACCGAGTGCCCACATGCTCACCAGGCCCTGTCCTAGGAAGCGCTGAGGGCACTGCCTGCACGGTCTCACTGGCTGAACCTGTCCACCACAGTGACAAGCACAGGTTCCTGGGGCTCGGCAGTGTGAAAGGAAAATATCACTAAGCTGCTTAGGGCAAACCTGCCTCCCATTCTATTCCATGTCACCGCTCTGCTCACTGAGATCAATGCATATCTGATTGCTTCCTTTGGAAAGGCTAATCAGAAGTGCAGAAGAAGGCAACTGTTTGTCTCTTACCTACCTGTGACCTGGAAGCCCCTCCCCATTGGAGTCTTCCTGCCTTTGATTCGCGTTGTCCTGTCTTTCCAGACTGGACCAATGTTCACTTAACCTATGTTGATGTCTCCCGTCTCCCTAAAATGTACAAAACCAAACTCTGTCCCGACCACCTTGGGCACAGCGCTGGACCTCCTGAGCTGTGTCATGGGCGTGCACCCTCAACCTGGCAAAATAAACTTTCTAAATGAACTGAGACCTGTCTCAGATTTTCTGGGTTCACATTTTGGCAGCCACGAAGGGATTCTGAGTGGAGACGCCCCTGACCTTTGACAAAACTGCTATCGGTGCTTTGTACTGGAATGAGCTAACTTTATGGCTCAAACCAACAGGACAATTTGCTGAGGTCTGGCAGTGCCCCCTGCAGAGAATCCCTGATCTCCCAAAATTTGATTGAGATCTAAAGTTTATGTTGCTATACACTGCCTTTTTTTTTTTTTTTTTTTTTTTTTTTAACAGTTTTACTTGTTTCCAACAGGGAAGGCAAGTTTTTCCTGCTTCTGTGACAGTGGAAGACAGTAACTCCTCTATGGAGTCTGTACTCGCTCGCAGCAGGGATGAGGTTTCTTTCCTGCCTCTGGGATGGCAGAGAGCCTGAGACCCACCCCTAGGTAAGCAACTGAATTGGCATTTGTCTTGGCCAAAGTTAAGATTAACAACCAGCTGGTCTCAGTTTCTCCTCACCCCTAGTGCGCTCAGTGGCCGTGTATGTTGCGCCGTCATTTGTTTTGCTTAACTGTTTTCGTTGTTACTGTTTGTTGTTGTTGTTGTTTTGGTCATTTTCCCATTGGGTTTGATCAACTCTGACTTCATCAAATCCAAAGGACAGTTCCAAATTATGGGGAACAAGGCCTCTGAAGTGGCTAAATTCACACCCCCACACACACACAGACACACGCAGGCACACCCACACACACATGCATGGTATGGTGGGAGAGAAACATGGCCATCAAAAGGAAAAAAAAGAGGAGGCCTGGGCACGGTGGCTCACGCCTGTACTCCCAGAACTTTGGGAGGCTGAGGCAGGAGATCATGAGGTCAAGAGATTGAGACCATCTTGGCCAACATGGTGAAATCCCATCTCTACTAAAAATACAAAAATTAGCCGTGCGTGGTGGCAGGCACCTGTAATCCCAGCTACTCGGGAGGCAGAGGCAGGAAAATTGCTTGAACCCGGGAGGCAGAGGTTGTGGTGAGCCAAGATTGCGCCACTGCACTCCAGCCTGGCGACAGCGCGAGACTCCGTCTGGGATAGGGGGGAGGAGGGCGAGAAGAAAGAAAAAAATTAAAAATTAAAAAAAAGGCCAGGCGCGGTGGCTCAAGCCTGTAATCCCAGCACTTTGGGAGGCCGAGGCGGGTGGATCACGAGGTCAAGAGATCGAGACCATCCTGGTCAACACGGTGAAACCCCATCTCTACTAAAACTACAAAAAATTAGCTGGGCATGGTGGCGCGTGCCTGTAATCCCAGCTACTCAGGAGGCTGGGGCAGGAGAATTGCCTGAACCCAGGAGGCAGAGGTTGCGGTGAGCCGAGATCGCGCCATTGCACTCCGGCCTGGGTAACAAGAGCGAAACTCCGTCTCAAAAAAAAAAAAAATTAAAAAAAAAAACAAGAGGAAAGGTTTTCTATTTTGACTACTAAGGGTCTTAACTTACAAAACAAGGCCACCTATTTGCTACCCAGGCCAAACTGAAAGAGCAATGGCTGAAATAGCAGCAATGTGTCCTAGCTAAATATGGTAATGAGACTTAAAAGATATTTTAAAGGAGCTCAATGGTCAAAAGTCAGCTTAATTAAAAGCTACATCCAAGATGTGTGTGTATATGTGTGCATACATGTCTGTTTGTATTTGAAAGGCCTCCATGTTTTTGTTTTTCTCCTAGGACCTTATCTTTTTTTTTTGAGCAAAAGCTTTTTTCTTCTCAGTTGACTGAACTCTGTTCTTTTCATTTACTTCTGCTGTCTCTCCTTTCTGTCGCACCCTCTGTTGCATGAAGGGTCTAAAATAGTTTATAATAGCCTGAGGTTCCTTAAAGAAAACCAAGAAGGTGCCAGACTCCCCTTGGGGGAGAAACCTGTTTTTCCTTATTGAACCCCAAAAATGTAAACAGACAAGTTCATCTCAGCTCTTAAACAGCTTACTTTTGTATTTGTGTTCCTTTTTTTTAAGACAGTGTCTTGCTCTGTTGCCAGGCTGGAGTGTAGTAGTGAGATCTCAGCTGACTGCAACCTCCACCTCCCAGGTTCAAGCGATTGATTCTCCTGCCTCAGCCTCCCATGTAACTGGGAATAAAGGTGCATGCTGCCACGCCCAGCTAATTTTTCTATTTTTAGTAGAGACAGGGTTTCACCATGTTGGCCAGGATGGTCTTGATCTCTTGACCTCATGATCCACTCACCTCGGCCTCCCAAAGTGTTGGGATTACAGGTGTGAGCCACCGCACCCAGCCCTGCTGTTTTTTTTTTTTTTTTTGTGGACTAAAATATTTATTGCAACAGAGGTTACTCTTGGGTTTTTATTTATTTATTTATTTTTTGAGATGGAGTTTCGCTCTTGTTACCCAGGCTGGAGTGCAATGGCGCGATCTTGGCTCACCACAACCTCCGCCTCCCAGGTTCAGGCAATTCTCTTGCCTCAGCCTCCTGAGTAGC